GCCTAAGGTGACAACTTGTTGACCACTCAATAAAACCGTATCACATCGAATATATGCGTAATTAACTCCGTATGTTTACACACACTGCTAAAACAACTGGATTGTTGACCACACACAAGCACATTCAGAAGTCCGGCAAAAGTTAACTCAATCACAATAATTGCATTGGCGTTAAATGGCCTCCTGTTGCGATATTCATACACACCACTCAAACTCAAAGTGTCACTTAATTGTTTATGAATTGCTCTCTCTGTTTGTCGGCGTGTGCGTGAGAATGCGAGTGTGTGGTTGTGCGATTGTGTGAGTGAAATATAAATCAGCCTGCGTGTTAGGCTATGAAATTTTTTGCTGTCAACATCGTGCGGTTGACGGACCGGAAACGGAAGTTGGTGTGTTGGTCGCCTGCGATTGTTGACGTTTAACTCGGATTGACTTTTTCTGCGGTTATTGCTTGTTTGTTTAGTAGTTTTGATTTGAGTATAGGGTTTTCAAATTTTTACCAGAGTTTATAATGAACTTCACGTAATTTTTTAGAAATGGAGAAAGTAATGAAGAGACCTAATTCCGATCAACTTTTTTTGCGGCAATTGCTTATTTGTTTTGAGGTTTGAGATGGAGTCATGGTTTATTAAGATGTTTAATACATTAAATTTAATTAATATAATAAGTAGATCTATCAGATTTGCCTTTTGACTAATTTCAAAGGATCGTTCTAAAGCGAAGAATTTCAAAATGCAAAAGTGTCTACCAATGTATGTATGTATATAGTGAGAGCAAATACATTTTTATGTTCTGGTACCACGTAACACACTTATATAAAACATTTTAAAGGATTAAACAATTTTTTTGAAAAAAACTCGTTTTAGCGTTTGCAAGGTAGCATCAAAGTTTATCACTCATACGCACTGTTGCCTTTGATCAAATAGTTATTTTAATGGCGGTGGCGTAGATTTCAGCCATATATTAGCTAATTCTAAAATCAAATGTTCCAGCAATTCGTAATTTCACAACGCTAGAAATAGGAGAACGTCATACGTGTCGTATAAGTAATTTTTAAGAAAACTTTAAAACCATTTCGCAAGGTCGAAATAAAAAAAAAAGTTTAGTTTTCGAATACATTTTTGCACACTTCAATCTGCCATGTGAAGGGGTGAAATTAAGATTTCATTTTTTGGACCGCCCTTTAATTAGAGGTGTAATAAAATTTATTCAGCGGACTAAAAACATCGCTGCTCATTATCTACATATATCCGTTTATATATCTTTCTGAAAAGTAGTTTGCCTTGATTGGCTAGTCTATTTTTATTGTTTGAAAATTTGCTATTGCTCCGTTTTGTAAAAATTAAAAACAAAACAAAAAAGTGGCAGCTAAAAAATGCATTAAATTGTTAACTTTTAGTTTTTTTCTTAAAAAAATTATTTTGGCTTGAAACTTTTGCAGTCATTAAAATATAATTATTAGTTATTTATGTATGTTTATCTGCATTTATTAGTCGCAATGCCCATAAATTAATAGGTTTCTCAGCGGATCGAGCATTTACCGTTAGGTCAACAACTGCACAATACACAACACTACACAACACAATACTGGGCAGTTCGTTTTGGGGGAAGTGCCGTTAGTGGCTTCGGTTACTATTTCGTTGTTTTCCTTTTTCAATTGGGGGCGGGCGAAGTTTAGAGAGCACAACACACAGCAATGGCAATATATGTAGCTGCAGCGGCACCAACGACAACAGCAGCAGTATATAACCAACTATACAACAGGACAACAGCACTCCTTCACACACACACACACACTTACAGCAGCATCGGATGCAGCAAACGAGCGACGAGCCGACGATCATAACGGTACATAACACGAAGTCACGGCCCGAGAGCTGCAGCAAAACAAAACACAGCACAAAACAATGCAAAATACAGCAACAACAACAAAATGTAACTAAATAGGATGCAGCAGTGGAAGTGGGGGGTTAGACCTCCCCCACCCTGCACCTACACCCCCTCCCCAACCCCTTCCATTCGCTTGCAACGCCGGCAGAGCGAAGGACGAACGAGCGAGCTGGAAAGACCGAGTGCGACTAACGGTAAACAGGCCAAGAAGGAGCAGAGAAATCCTCGTCACAGGAGCTTCGCCACTTCGCCTCTCACGAAGGACAAGCCGAGAGAGCGAGAGAGGAAGAGAGCGAGAGCCAAGCTGGGGGGAAATAAAATAAAATACAAGCAAAACAACATAAAACCCAACAACAACAGCAATAATAACAACAACTGCAGCACGTGCAATTAATAGATGCTCTCCCTCTCTCTCTCTCACTCTCTGTCTGTCTCTGTTTCATTCTCCCTCGCTTGTAGCGTTGCAATCCGAGATGCCTCTCTGGTTGGCTGTTGCATACTTCCCGGCGCCTGCAAGGAGTGAGAGTGTGTGTGTTGGCATTTTTGTTTGGTAAACTGCATATACAACAATACAATAAGCAAGACATCGACTGAGGTATGGGTATAGGATTTCTGGGGTCCTTTACATACCGCTCTATGTGTAGCATGAATGAAAATTCGGCGCATGCCATTTGACGGCCTCGCTATAAAAGTCAGTTAGGCCATGTGCACGGGCTCAGTTGAGTCTCAACTACCAGAGTCCCGACTTCGAGTTCAACTCCATCCCACAAAGAAGCCGCCAAAAAAAAGGAACCCCAAATACGGAAAAGTCCAGCTGAAAAGTATTTCCATCGCAGCTAGTCGAAATTCCTTGAGTTCCGCAGTTCCGCCAAAAGCGACGGCAATTGGGTACGCCCAACATTTCGGACGCGAGTGTGAGCCCCGCGCTAACCAAGGTGAGAAAATGGTAGATGCTGTGGTGAGTGTGGTGAGCAGAGTGCCTAGGTGGTGGAACTCCACATAGGATCGTATAAAATGGGGAATTACAAAAAAATAACTCATTACAACCATAAAACGCTGTGAAATGGATCTAAACGAAGTGAATTGTATTTTAGATCAACATGTGCCTAAAAATGATGGTGTATTGCCAAAATCTTCTGCATATGGGGTAGGTTAGGGGATCAGCCTTGAGAATTAAAACCGCCTGTATAAAAAAACAGTCGTAAATCATAATACAAATAAAAAGTGACCAATCCTGATTTAATAAAGCATTTGCAAATTTTTTTAATGTGCACAATGTGTTGTTTACACTCAAATGTCGTTGCGTATATTACTCTTTATTATTAATTTTGTTAATTATATCCCATTTTCGCATTTTCCAGAAATATCATCCTACCAGAATTGAGAATACCAAGCCCCTCGGCTACCAAGGCCACTACAACCATTTCAACGCACCATCAGTCAGTTCGCTTGGGTCGAACCTACTGTAAGTAAGACACCATGAGTTCGCAGATGAAAATGCAGGTCGCACGACCTCAAACGCAAGGATACACAAATGATCTCTTAAAGCGGTACAAATCAACGAAATCAAACCCTAATAGGGGTAAAAATCAAACTATAGAAAATTAATGTTATAACCCCCTAAATATTACAATCAAACGATATGTAACCAATTGTAGGGCCACTAAGTATGCCGATAGTCAATGTATTAGCCATATCTGTCAGAACCTAGAAATCCTTACTTAAACCATCACAAACTAGGGACAATGCATCTAAATAGGCAATTTAGTTATTAAGATCAATTACAATTAAATAACATTCACTGTAAGACTCCGAATCCGAACAGTTAGGGCTCAATGAAAGACAACCAATTGATATCGTTCGTATTTAACTTTTGCAAAGTCCCGCTCCAAGAGCTAAACATTGGTACAATCCGCTTAATCCGGGGCTTGTGTTCCGCTCAAACGCTTCGATTCCAACAAAATTATCCGGGAAATCCTTGAGATGGGGTGTCTGAACTTGCTGATCGCGTGCGCGGATAAATTCCATATGATGGAGGCCAGGGTCCGGACCTTTGCCGTAATCGGGTTCTACGAGCCGTGCGTCAAGCGGCTGTCGCCCCTCGCGTCGGTTGGGCGGGTGGTGGGTAACCATTTAGCGTTACACGTTGGGAATGCGTTCGCAAAAAAATCCTGTATTCGCAGACTTACAAAGATAACTAATGATATATGCATATTTTTAGAGCATGCTGCATGATCTTGTTTGACTGAACCTTTGTATTTGAAATCTTGTCTTAATGGTCCCATAGTTGCATAAATATTTTTTTATTTTAATTTAATATTATCCTATGAGTTAGTACCTTGACATATTTAATTTATTTATTTACCCTAAATGTTTCTTATTAATTAAATTAATATTAACAGGATACATTATAAACCAATTTTTATCAGAATAGAGAGCCTTAATTAGTTAATTCAAGACAGCTATAAGAAGGATTTAGTTAAGGTGGGGGTTTTCAGGAAAATGTTGTGTAGCATAAGTATGCTACCATATGAAAACCATATTTTCCATAGGATTTCAGCAAAAACCCCCTTGGAAATAACTACATATGAATGTTGTACTAAAACGAATGCGTTGAAAAATGAATTATATAATCTTTCATGAACTAATCAATGAATTCATCGGATTGATATGTGGATATCAACAAAAACTACTAGATATTTGATTCAATCAACCAGGTAGACCAGTTCTTTCTTAAAAAAACTAATAGAAAATTTTTTTTAAAAATTCAAGATACTTCATGACACGACTTTTGGCATCGCCACTCTTTCCCCTTTCCGCCTGCGGACAGACCTTGTTAACGCTTCTGGCGCCGTCAACGGCGTCCACCCAAGAAATGCATATTTAGCCAAGTGTTAATAATGCGGCTGCCACCGGGGGATCGTCCCTTTGGCGGGATAAGTTCTTATAGCCCGACTTTTGGGTTCGGTTAGCCGGGAAAGGTGCAAGCGTGCGTTAAGCCAAGGAGCTCACGCAAGGCAAACAAATACAGGGAGACACAAACAAATGGCACAGGGGCATAAAAAAACAAAACAATGGAAAAGTGAAGAAAAATAAAAGGGAAAACTTGCCTGTCCGCACGGCCTCGATTCCAGGGTCGCGAATTATATTTCATTGAGTTGTTCTGTCGCCTGTGGATGTGGGAGAAAACATAAATAAAAAATTAAAATAAAAAGAATGAAAAAAAGGAAAAGAAATGCATAACTAAACAAGGAATAGATGGGCTGCAAGTTGGGGCTGCTGTTAATTTTGTTATTCAAAATGTGCCTTTCCCGGGATTTCAAGAAAGTTGCGACGTTTATTTGCTTCCGCATTGCCAAGGTCCTTCCTTTACTTTATTCCCTTCACTGTCTTGGGATTTCTTTTGTTATCAGTTCTTCGAGGAGTGGTAAAGTTGATTTTTATGCTTAAGGCCTGCATTTGAGTTGATAATGAAGGCAGACATTACAAATACACCCCTGCCTATTTTCCGCAAGGATTTTAATTTAGTGGTCTATAATTAAAGGCGATTCGTTGGGGGAGGAAGTCAGGTGGCCAATTTGCACACAATAAAAAACAAGAAAAGGAAAGTCACTGTCATTGGAAGTCCCGCAGATACAATTTACTTTCGTACGTCACGTAGTTTCAACGTCAATTGCCCAGTTCGGTGGGTTTTCGGAGGAATGGATCCTGAACATTGAACGCACTCACACGGAAATTTCAATGACAGGCAACCCACAACCAGAGGCGTAGGCAAAAAGGAAGCCTGATTTTTAAAAAATAGGTACATATTTGTTATAATTTGTAAATGTTTGAAAACTTGTGTAACAGTTAAAAATTTTTTTTTTTTATTTGCCACCCCAATATTTTTTTTATAGTAAATTGACTGATACTTCATCCCCTACTCACTACGCTCATGTAAAAACAAAAACCGGCAGGACCAAAAGTATCTCGTGGATAGCCAGCCGCAGGCCGTTGGCCACCCACTTGAAAATTTATGTGTTAATTTTAAGGTGCCCGACGAGAGCAGCAGATGGGGAACTTTAGGAGGGATTTTTTCCTTTATACATTTTCTTTTTTTTCCTCTTTTTGTATTGGCCAGCATTTTTCACAAAGTTTTTCCAGGTGCTGCCAGGGTCAGGCGCCTTTGGTGGGTAATAAATGAGCTAATAATAAGTGAAATGTGCTTTTGAGTGACCCTAAACAATTGCTCCGAAGGGAAAGTGGTTGTGAAAGCGAAATTGGGGGAAAAAGGAGCGGCCCGTAGAAATGGCTGTGAAATTTCCGTTGGGCAGCTGAAAAATGCGCCAAAGTGTCGAAAATTCCGTTGGTGACATGAAAAGATTTGTTTATAATTAATTTTTACCTCTCCAAAATTTTTTTTTTGCTTTTGCTCTATGCTAAAAAAAAGTACGGAGCTAAAATTTGAAAACACGTGACGCTGAAACTTATTAATTGCATTAATTCCGTTGGTCAGCCGTTTTTTTTAAGGGAAATAGCAATTAACTGGGGATTTTACCCATTAATTTTTAGGAAAGAGAACAAAATTGTGATAAAAAAGAATTGTGTATACCCTTAAAATTAAATTAAATATAACCAAAACAAAAAGAGCAAGGAATACTGGAATGAATCCTTAAACTCAATTATAGTTGTACATTCCCTTAGCGCAATTTTTAATTGTTTTTTCTTAAAAAGTTCGATACATCGCTTGTCAAAATAGCGACTCTTCCGACATTTATGAGTGGTTCAATGTGTTTTCAATTTTTAAGACCGACAGAGAACAGCAAGGGACAAAAAACAAAAGGCAGCAGCAGGAAAAGCCACAAAAGACAAGTGTTGACGTGTCGATGGGGAAAAGCAAATGCCAAAAAAGCAGGACAGAGAAAAGCAGTAGTAGAAACACGGGTAAAAAAAGATTGGGAAAAATTTGTATCCGCTTGTTGCAAATTCCAATCAATTTTTGTTGTTCTTGAGGACGATAAGGGCGACTCATTTGCCGGAAAATTGAGTAGACATGCATATCCGCAGACGAACGGAAATGGTCAAGATGCAGGTTCGAACAGGGCCATCAATTAGACTTTTTTCGGAATCTGCTGCTGCTCCTCTGTGCGGCCTTTGTCTTGGGCGATGGAGTCGGCGGATATTTGGCCTGTTTGGTTAACAAGATGAAGCTGACAGAGCCGCAGGTTATGGCTAAGGACCAACGTCATTGAGACAAGCCGGTTGGCCCGGCAAACAAACAAACAAGCCGAGCCTCCTTCTACCAAATTTCATTGTTTGGCAACTTTTGCGGCCAAAATGGAATTTTGCGTTTGCCTAACTGGCAAAAAAGTGGCCAAGTAGTTGGGTGGTGGCGTGGATGTCCCGATGTTTCTCCATATGCCATGTTTTGATGTGTGGCAAAGTCTGCTGTGAATTGAAAATCGAAGTTAATATGCTCTGCAGACTGTGAAACAAATCATTTTCAAGTTGTTAAGGGAAATCGACACGTTTTTGCCATTTTATATTTATTATGAGCCTTTTTTGTTCTCGTTTTTTTCCCGCTTGCCAGCAGATGTTGCCAAAAGTGTCAGGGTGCGAGATGGGTGCTTAATGGCAATAAACCAAATATTTTGATGATATTTTATAGATAGTATATATGTATGTGGGATGAAATCGACTTTGTGAATTCTCCTTTTTATAAGGAAAATTATTATATGAAAATAAGTATCAGATTAAGTTTCCTAATAATAACTAACTAATTTATATTGTTAATTTTTTTGTAGATTTTAACAAGACTCTTAATGAGCTATTCGAATGGCATATATTTTCATTAATCTTCTTCAGCGGTAACCATTTACCCATAATTATAAAATGGATTACCAGCAATTCTTTTTATTCAGTCGAATTTCTTGTGTAAGGATGCGATATCACATTTCTTGGTAGCAACTTCAAAGCTGCAGGATAAAGACACTTGAATATGCAAAACAGAGAAACACAATTTCGTTTAGGTAAGCTATTTAATGGGGCGTTAGGGCAGACGGCTGAAAAAAATCTCGTGCGCAACACATTATATTTATGCGAAACTCAAAAAGGAACTGGGGGCGTCATAAAATTAGTAAGCACGTGAGTGGCCTGCCCTCATTATCATAAAAGAAAAATCATGCAAAAGCCGGGAAAATCTGCGAACGTTGGCAGTTTACTTTTCTAACCAAAACCACATAAATGTTGGTGACAGATTTAAAGAAATAATACTATCCTTAGGATTGTTTTGTTAACAAATATTTTTGAATGAAATTTAATCTGTCTTAGTCATTTTAACAGCACAATTAATCCTAAATCCTAAGAATATAAGAAAAGACATCTTAAATTTTCAAAAATATTTAGGCCATTGAAATAGTCTATTGTGCCTATCCCAAGGAATTAGGCAATGTACTGTAAGGAAACCTAGTAACATCGGCGTATTTTAAAATTACTTTATGTAAGTCGGATGTCGTTATCTTCAGATATTTGCGATACAGTTCCTATTGGAACACTTGTGTGACATATGGTCTTTAAGAAGGCTATATGCAACTCTATTTGGGGTCTCTAGAAAAAGAATAATAGAATTCGAAAATGGAAGGAAACCCTTTTTTTCACGTCCTGTCTGATTTGTAAAGAAAACTGTATTCAACATGTCAGGATTGTATTGAACAGACTCACCAGTTGCTGGGACTTGGGCCGCGAGACCGGGAACCCGAGTGTCCAGATCCAGATCCTCCGCCGGTGGCACTCCCTGACGGCCGATTGCCCGAATCCCCGGCGGCGCTTGGGGGTGCTCCTCCCGAGTCTCCTGGCTGCTGTGGTCCACTCATGACTGGGATTACTTAACAATCTAATGGCATTGTGATGACTCCGGTAGGTAGTGTTTATTATGATTAAGGCATATGCGAATCACATTTGGCCACTGGACCGCGTTTGTACTGATTGGTTTGGTGCTTCAAATCGACCGACCGAATCGATCCGCCAAGCGTCCTGAGAACATTACTGCGTTCCGTTTTTGATTTTTGGCCGAAAGATTGCACAGAAACTAAACAAATTGCAAAATAAATAAAATAAAATCCAGAACGTTTATAAAATTTCCGAGAGAGCGAACGCAGACAGCTGATTTGTTATCGATTGCAATACGAAGGGGAAATCGGGCGTCAACGTTGCCACCTCGCGCCGCAGTCTGGCGGCAATTCAAAAAGATAAAAATGATTGTCAATAAATTCACATAAAGGTGGTTACTTTTTTGCTACAAGCCTATATAAGAATTAATTAATATATAATAGTATGCATTAAGATTCCAAAATATTCAGAATATTTAACCAAACCTTTTTTAAGTCAGTATCTAATTATTCTGGGATATTTTATTGAAATTATAAGAAGTTTTTTTGTTCGATATAGACTTTAATATTTTAGCTTAAATCGAAGACTTAAGGAAACCCAATAATCCCTCGTTGGTTACTCAGAACCAAAAGAATCCATCAAATAATCAATACGCGTGTTGATTTTGCATGTTCGTTTGTATTGTCTTGACTTTATGCTAATGTCTTGACGCTTATTTTTATAAAAATTTTCATTTGCTTTGCATCTGGTATTTACTTTGCGCGTCGATTTTTCATTTCGGTTTATTTGTGCTTGTTCGGGGTGTTCTCTTCGGGGCCCACTTTTAAAATTTCCATAATTATATGCATCAGCTGGCAGGTGACTGAATGGAGAAGGAATGGAAAGGCGAAAGGACGAGACGCGCCAAAGAATGAATCCTGGAGAACAATGAAATGAAGGACCTGCGAGAACAATTTGTGTGTGAGTCTGTGCTTTCGTTATTTTTATGCCAGAATAAACCTGCGCCAAAGTGTAAATATTGACAGTTTTTAAATTATAATCAAAGTGAATAAATAATAAAGCGAAACACGAAAGAAAACAAAGCAACTTGTGAAAATTAATTGGGTGGCTGTTATTGCGGGCATCTCTAAGCGTTCCATTCCAGATCGTTTCAGGCAGTGATTTCAACGCCCTCCCTTGAACTGACATTCGATTTTGGCCAGCGGCGATCACCAGGGGATGTAGCTCAGATGGTAGAGCGCTCGCTTAGCATGTGAGAGGTACGGGGATCGATGCCCCGCATCTCCAGAGTTTAAAATCTTTTTTTTTTTTAGTTAAATTAAATTAAAAACATATATGCGTCTACAATATTTGTGTGTATGGATCGATTACAAGAACAGAAACACTAAAAAAGAGCTGAGACAAGACCAGGGACCGAGATTGGAGATTTTTGATTTTAAAGGTCTCTGGGTTTCTTTATTTATGTTTGCTTTTTTATTTCTTAAATTTTTTATGTAAGGTATTAAAATTACCCAAAAGCTTTAAAAAAAAACATAATCTGAAACTTTAAAAGGAGTAAAAGAGTTTTAAGGTAAAACAATTTACGTTTTGGAAATTTAAATTTAAACATTTGGATTCTATTATAATATTGCCGAATATTTTCCTAAATTTATAATAGCATAGAAGTGCATGCATTAATGGAAAAAACAAAAACGAACAAAAAAAAAAAACGAATCCTTGGAGATGCGGGGCATCGATCCCCGTACCTCTCACATGCTAAGCGAGCGCTCTACCATCTGAGCTACATCCCCATATAACGGTATCGGATTTATGGTGCTGCAAGGACTTACGGGTCGAATCACATGCAAGAGCTCTATAAATAGATTCGTCGCTTACTATTCATGACAATGCTCATTAGCTTTTCGCTTGGTCAACAAATCACGTTAAAAGCATTCGAATTGTTCAATGCAATGACACAGATTGATTCGAATCCAATTTAATTTCGTTGTTGACTTTTGTGAAAGGGCCTACGACATTATTATGCAACTGAAGTCAGACCAGTTTATGGGGCCAAATGTCGTCTAGAAAACTAGCAACAAAAACTGGCTAAAGAAAATGTTTAAAACCAGATGTTCGAAACATTTATTACTTGGGGCTGGGTAGACTTGTATTTGACACTTTACTCTCATTTTTTTATTAATGTTTTCAACAATTTCAATTAAAATAATATGAAAAAAATCTTCAGAATAAAAAAAAGAAAAAAATGTAATCCGGGCTCAACCGGGATTTGAACCCGGGACCTCTCGCACCCAAAGCGAGAATCATACCCCTAGACCATTGAGCCTCTTATTTTTACGCCGGCCAAAAAGCCCAAAAGAGCGAACGATTGTTGGACCAATCTAAATATAGACAAATAATTAAATTTAAATTTGTTATGCAGCCAACTAGTTTCGATGTCTTTTGTTATCATCGTGGCCACATTTTGTACAAGGTGAACTGCAAGTTTCAGCCAGTATATCTATTTATAGTTACTTCCCGCGGCGGTGTAAAATTTTCCCAGACCTTTTGGCGGGCGGAAGTGCAAGAGGGGATGTAGCTCAGATGGTAGAGCGCTCGCTTAGCATGTGAGAGGTACGGGGATCGATGCCCCGCATCTCCAAAGGAATTTTTTTTTGAATATTGCTTTGAAAAACACAAAAACTTCCAGTTAAACTCAAAGGAGAACCAAAATATCATAAGGTTAAAAACAATTTATTGTTTTGATAAAATTGTTAGGATCCAAAATTAAAAAATCAAGAATGATTGGCACTTTGTGGATATCAATTTTATTTTGGCACCTGTTTAAACCATTTTAGAAAGAGATCCATACCTTCTTGGACATCTTGTTCGATTATTTTCTTATAGTGGATCATTAGGAAGGCTCAGCAGAACTTTCTGCGAAAGAAAAATTTAAAAAAATTAACAAGCACAGAGTTTTAGGGTTTTGGAATCTTACTTTTGTTTCTGGGCAGCAAGTAAAATCTGCCGGGCAATCGCCAAATGAGTATGAGCGGTAAGTGAAAGGCACTTTGCACAAATCCTTAGTCACGCACTTGCCTACTCCATTCGGTCCACAGGGCAAATTAATCTGTTACAAACAATACGTTTTAATTGTTAAAAGGTTGTAATAAAAAATATGATCTAAATAAGTATATTTTAGATCACCAAAATCGACACACCCTAATACGAAACTAATTCTTTAGCAGTTACGTGTTCATATGAGCAGCAGACTTCATCATTTGAGCACCTAGCGTCCTGACCCTGATCCAGTCCCATACGATATTGTATATGAATGTCACAATTTTGCCGGCTGACACAGTGAGCTTTTCCCTCCGAATTGCAGGGGGCAATAGCCCTTCCCTCCGGAATGCAAGGGGCAAAAGCTTGACTCAGTCCAAGAAGGACGGAGATCACGAGAAGGCCAGACAGGGTCCAGTGTTCCATTATTGAAGCTTGAATGAAGACTGATTCTGTTAGAGAGCTGCGCGTGGATTTTATAGCTCTTGGAAATCATCTGTATGCGTACTAAATACGCTTATCAGCTAACCCTGTATCAATATACAAATTCTTTGAAAATTGCGTGGCATGAGAGGCCGAAAAAAGAGTTTCCTAATTTCGTATCACTCTTTAATGGGTCATTCTATGAGTAATTCCACAAGAAACTAACAAATAAAATAAATATTATTCAACCCAAAATAGTGAGATCATCTCAATTGGATCATGTAGTTCTCTCGAATTTTCTTATCCAGCCTTGCTTGCCGGCCCTTCGCATCCATCAGGCTAATGGAATAAACCCCTTGGACAAAGTTCGAGAGTTGCCGACTCCCGTAACCTGCACAAATATTTAATTATTCATAACTTTAAACAATCACGGCGACGTCAGCATCATCGGTGTAACCCCAGGGTCTGCCCCCGTATTCCTCCCACTCTGATTACGACTCAACAAACACAATACAAACAAAAACACACAAGAACAGGATGGGAAGGCAGCGGCGGGGATTCCCCCGACCTCTGCGAACGTTTAGCTGCTGTTCTGCCTGCTACCGCTGATGGTAATAACATTGTCGTAAAATCATGTTTGGCTTATCGTGGGACTCCCGGGACGATGATCCTGGATTTCTGGATTTCTGGGGGAAGGACCCGCGCACGCTGCATTTAAATGCCGGCAGCGTCGAGGAACGGCGTGAATTATAGTGGCGTAGGTTAAATGCCGTTAGACAGCCACATAAACTGCGAACCCTTTCTGACAGCCGACTTGGGCCACACAGAAAAAAAAAATATAATAAATATAATAGTCGACAATATATTTGGTACAAAAATACAATTTAATTATAAATTTTATTTTAGGTAATTACAAAAACAATTATTACTCACCCCTCATCATCATTTGTATATAAATTATGGTTTTTCATAAGAACTCGGGTTTTTCTGTGTTTATAAATTTAATGTATACAATGATACAATACTTATGACTTTTAATGGCAAATGTTATTACACAGATTAAAGGTTATTAAAGGCAAGATAGAGGAACTGATAGAGAGAGAGAGAGATATGCAATGTCAAGAACATAGAATTTAGAATATTTTTTTAATCGCTTTTTTATTGAGGCTTTAAATTTTACGGCAATTCTAAAGAAAACATTTTTGATTTTTTTTTCAAGAATAGCTATTTAAAAATGTTCTAAATAAAATATGTTTTTCAGAACTTGTAATATTTGTATCATCATAAACAAAATTTGTTCTGTGCATGTAAACTTCGAATATAAATAAGTCATGACTGTGTGCGAATCAAAAAGTTGTTGGCATTTCCTTTTAATTTTTGTGAAATTATTTGCATTCGCTCGCACACAAAACTAATGCAAAGAAAGTTCCATCGAGGCATAGGCATCTACTTCCCTGGAATGGTCCTGCCATTCCTGCCAATCCTCCTCCTGTTCCTTGGCTTGTTTTCTTGTAATTATCGCTTTTGTTTGTTGGCTGAACTTTTGCCAGGTTCTGGCCGCCGGCTAACATACAAAATTAGCGCTCCGCTCACCAAAATGACTAAACAATATTTACTATTTGCCGGATGCGGGCGGTGGTTTTGGAACCAACTCAGGAGGATATCGACGTCTCAAGACGCTGCCAAAGTGGGCAACATATTGTCGTTGTACGGCGAACAACATAATTTTCTAATTGGCCAAAGTTGCTGCCAAGTTTTGGCCCAGACAGACCGAGAAAACATTTGTTCTCAGTTTCGGTTTGCTAATTCAATTTTAATGCTTGATTTCATATTAATTGAAAACGGCGTTTTGAAAAGATTTTCGGAAACTTCTTTTGGGGGTGGAAATTTAAAATGTTTCAGTTAAATGCATGATAATTGCATTGATAATGTAAACACAATTTAAAAAACAGTATTTTTAAAAAAAAACAAGGCCGCACATTGTCAAAATCTAAAATCGCAATAGGCCTGTAATTAAATTCTAAAATTTAAACTTTAGTTATTGACCTCTTTTGGCAAAAAATCGTGTTGTAACTTCTTATAAGAATTGTAAAAAATTGTCAAAGGTCTATAAATTATTCCACTTTATTGTTGCATTCCAATAAAATAAGTAAAGTCAAGGCATACGAATTTTAAGAAGCTGTGGAATATTTAAAGTAGAATTTAACCAATGGTTGACCACCCCCCAATAAGCTCCCATTTCCGCAGTGAAACTCACTGAACCTTTGCCATCTTTAGTCAGTTCACTTCGACCCCAAGTTGTATTTGCCCAAGGGCTTCTCAAGCCATTCCGAAGGCGTTCATAACAGATGACCTCATATTTGTGGCACCCACACCCCGAGTCCTGGCAATAAGTTTGATTTCCAAGACGCTTTTTCTTGTCGCCGCTTTTTATGGCATGCACAAAAGCCAAAAGGCAAACACACTCGAGTCATAAAAAGATGCCTGCAGACAAACAAAGCGACACACGAGCTTGGGATAGAACAGGCCAACATAAAGATCAAATGTCAATACAGGGAATCGGGGGCGGAGATTCGGCTAAATGTGGCCAAAAGGCGGCAGTGGAAAGACAAACAGCAGCGACAGGAAAATGTACAACAAATTTCTAAACGTTGTCATAAAAATGAAATGAAAACAAGCAGAAGGCGGTCAACAAACGGGAAAAGCTAAACTTAAGACATTCAATAAGTTTACTTACGCCAAGCTGAACAACAGTCACCGAAAAAGAAATGGAGGGGGTTTTGACCTTTTTATCGCTTTAAATATGTTTATGACCAGGTTTTTTGGGGGTACTCACCCAGCCCGCTTATAAATCTCCGAGGTTTTATGTTTATGCGCACGAAATTGTTTTTAACGACAATGTGTGTCCATGTAAATTATTAGTTTAATAACGTCTCAGCTTAGGGCAATTATTATCGGTCTTTTGGGATCAGACTTTATGGGACTTGATAAATATTAAGAGAATGGATTTAGTTGGAATAAATTCAGGGATGTAATAGATTGACTAAATTGATATTGTAAAAATCCAAGATATTGTAATATATTCTTTTAATAAATATCTGGCTCTATGTATATTTTAGTGTAGGTAAACTTATACTGTTAAAAACTTAAACAACATTAATTTTATTACAAACTAATACCTTAGTTTGAAAACAGTTTATAAGTCAAAACCATCATATTATAGTTGAAATGAAAAACTATTTTGGGATCTCTACCCAATTTCTGGCCTCCACTTCAGCAGACCCAACACTCAACGTCTTAATCAAATCACGGTCATAAGGATACCCTCATAAATATGTCAATTAATGGCACGCCCCCGGCCCACAGCCCACCGCCTACCGTCTGTCTGCTGTCTTATCTCAAATGAAGACATAAACGCTCTGATATCAATTTATGTCAATGTAAATGTTTCTTTGTTGTTCACCCGAGATTGGGTATAATGTATGCGAGCCTCGCCACCATTCCATGAACGCCTGTGTCGGCGAATCTTAAATGGAGCTTATGAAACTATTAAAAGGCGAGCAGACAAGGCACACACATGTCTCACAAACAAGCAAACAAACAAACATACGGGATAGTGTCCTTATGGAGGAGGGAACCACAGTTCTTCGGGTTGGGGGTAATTAGTTTGCTACACGCTCGAGGCGTGCCTTCATATCCTGGTGCTGATGGTCCTGCTAGTCCTGTTCGTCCTGGGCTGCCATGAATAATTCCAGGCGGTGGCAAAAACTTTGACCAGCTGCTCGAAAAGGTTGACAAAACCCCAAGTCAGGCTAACCGCAAGACCAAGACGATGATCATAATGACGATGATGGGGATTTTCAAGGAGAAGAAGTGAATGAGTAGATTACTCATACGCACGATTGCCCAGAAACATTAATTATTTAGCTCGTCTTCATCTCTTTTTCCAAGCTAATGCTAATTGCCTTTGTCCTCGCAGCACATTTGCATAATTCCGCTCTAAACAATAAAAATCTAATTTGGCCCCGCTTGCATTATAATTTCTTGTTAAATTCATAATTGTTAATTTCTGTTGTTTCTGGCATTTTCTTTGGGGCTTAACTTTAATTAAGGGCCAAGTGCCAGGGTTGCTTCCTCCGCATGTCCTGCTGCACTGGATGTCCTGTTCACAAGGGCGGAAAGATTGAGGAGAGTCGTGCATGTGAATGGTCAGTCTGGTCCACTAAAGATGACTCCACAAAGGGTGAAAGAATTCGGGCTGCTTTTAATGAACTTGGAACTCACAGAGATTGTCAGCTAGCAAAAGTAATAATATTAAAAAAGAGTTCTTGGTTCTGAAGAAAATTGAAAATTTGTTTGTTTTAAATGTTTTATTTTAAAAATAAAAACAAACGTAAAACTAATTTTTTGAGTTTTACTATTTCGATAAAAAATGTTTTTAAAAATTAGATATAGTATATGAGCTGCTTGCAAAATTAAACCACGAAGAGTTTCTAAATTGCCAAGCTTAATAATTTATATTGTGCCAATTATGCACTTCAAAATCTGACCGTTTCTAGCATTTAAAGATTAATTTTAAATTACTTTGTAGTGAAACACATTAAACATTTCCCATCAAATATTTCCCCTACCTTTTGTTGTCTTACTTATTTTTCCTCTAACAATAAAAGACAATTTAGCAAGGGGACGTTTCTAAACGATTTCGTTGTTTCTGCCACAATTAGTTCCCCTTCTTCTCCGTGAAAAACCACAAAATGTGGACCATTAAAAACACAAAACTTTAAGCGGCTCTTCGGAGCACCTTCCCCTCCTCCTTTCGGTATTGCCAAGAAACAAAAACCATTAAAACAATTTAATCGCACTCGAGGAAATCTTCGCGAGCCAGAAAGTCGAGCATGAAATGCAAAAGTTTTTATTTTGACGCCTGGCGCCTTCGCTGCTGACTCCTCCTGATTGTAAATCGTTATCCTCGCGGGACTCGAGTTCGGAGGTGTTTTTGCTTTCCTGCCACCCTAACAA